CGTGAAATCTCGCTGCTTATTTATTTTTCTCCCGCTTTCCCCACCTATGTTTGCTATTTTTTTTTCTTTTCTTGATTAGGTCACCGGTACCCTACCCAACCACTCAAACTCCGGTTAGGGTTTTCTTAGGGTTTTTCTAGGGTTTAGGGTTCTTCAACCCCCCCTCCCGCGGGGACAGAAGGTTAACCGACCCCCAAATTTTCACCTCCATTTATAAGAAAACCGAAAGACCATTTTAACCATATTTCACACCAATCTATAGAGTGCACTTCTTACTAACTTATTGTTAAAAAAAAAACGAAAAAAAAAAATTAAAAACATATAAAACAGCAAGCCAAAAGTGCACTTTCATGAAATTTCACCAACATTTCAATTTGTCGGTTTTCACAATTTTCACCACTCCCCAAAACAACCATCTCCAGGAACCCAACAAATATTCACACCAATCTATAGAGTGCACTTCTTACTAACTTATTGTTAAAAAAAAACAAAATAAAATAATTAAAAATATATAAAACAGCAAGCCAAAAGTGCACTTTCATGAAATTTCACCAACATTTCAATTTGTTGGTTTTCACAATTTTCACCACTCCCCAAAGACAACCATCTCCAGGAACCCAACAAACACCAAACTTGGCACATACAAACCTCAACCAAAAACAAAACAGGGCAAAAAAATAAAAATAAAAAAAAACAAAAAAACATGATCCCCATTGCACTTTTCAGGGTGGTGAAGGTTACCCTAGGGGTGAAAAGTGGGGGTACTTGTTAACCATTTGTGCCCCCCCCCCTACTTCCCCTTCCTATTCGGGCACCCTGGACCCGAACCACCCCTCCCCCTTTGACGGCGCCCGCGCCAGCCTTGCTAACGCCGTCCGCCGCCTTCTACCGCGGACCCCCCCCTACGCCCTCCACTCACGCGGACCTCCTCTGGCCCCCTCCAGTCCGGCCCGTCACCTCCTCATGGGCGACGGTGTGTCACACGCCGCCGACGCGGCGACAACCACGATACCGGGCTCCACACCCTTGCCGGCGGACCAGGGCCCAGGGGGATCTGCACACCCTCCTCACTTCCCTCCTCGCGCCCATCCAGGCACAACTCGCAGTCCTCGCGTCCTTATAGGCGCAGGTGGCGACCCTTGCCGCCGGCATGCAGCAACTCCAGGACGCTGCGTGTCCTTCATCTCCTGGCTCCCAGTCTGGGTCCCCCGTCCTCTGAACAGGGTAGCCACGACGGAGCTTCCTCCTCCGCTGCCCCCGACCCGGCCATCTTGGTGACTGTCCACGCCCCTAGCACGACGGGCGTCACGACCCAGGCCCTCCCTCAGTCTATGGGCGCACCCACCCAGATTCCGGTCACCACGGCCACGGGACCACAACCCGCTACCATGGTCTCAGCGTTTCCGGGTGCCTCGCTTCTCCCCCCCCTTTGCACGACCGCAGCGCCACCTGGCTCTCCCCCCTCTGGGATGGCCCGCGCCACTTGTGCGTCCACTTCCTCCACTCTTCCTCTTGCCACTCCTCGCTCGATCCACGTCCAACGTCTCGAGGACGAGCTTGCCCAGATCCGGGCTGACCTCGCCCTCTTACGCCTTCAACCACCCCCACCCTCATAGGTGGTCGCGCCTTTGGGCGCACCTCCTCCTTCCTCCACCCTTCCTTCCATGCATGCTCGCTTCACTCGTCCTGCACCCTATCCAGCCCCATCCTACCTTCTTCCTGGGCAAGCTTGGCGCCCAAAGGGGACGCACAGTGACTGCCCCATCCAAAAAGTTACCGGCTGACCTCTGGCCGGTATCGCCCACCTGCTGTTAGCAGGTATCCCACTTGTTGGTGGGTGCAGCTCCCGCATGTTCCCTCGTAGGTGGAGTATATCGACAAGGACGAGATGGCTTCCGCTCGGTACCAGTTCACGATCAAGAAACACATACAAATAAGGAGTGGTCTAATGATGAATTTACCCACTCGTCGTGAGGAGAATGAAGAAACAGGACATTGTTGGGAAACGTCTAAGGGGGAGCATGCCCTCGTCTGGATTGAGTCTGGATGGGTCAAAGACGAAAGTTGTGCAATAGAAAGGGTTACATTGTATATTTCGTTGGATTATTTGCGGGCCATCATAATAAACTTAGCCTTAGGAATAGATTGATCTCTTTCGAGGCTAATGTGGCTTGCGGAGTCCGCACTCGATACTCGGAGCCGGGACGCGCATTTGAATGGGTTTGAACGAGTTATAGGAACAATGAAAGTAAGAAGGGTTTGCGAATTCCTTCCGCCAGCTGCATACCTAAGGGGAACCCTTCCTATGTTTATCGTGAATGAAGTCTTCGGGGGGAGGTCGCGAGTAGAAAAAGTTGCGGAAGCCGCCTTGGTGATCCCTGAAGAGGAATCTCACGAGTCTACCTCGTTGTTGGTATACTACTTATACCTGGAAATATGACATCTAATTGAGGAAAGAGAATTGTTGAGAATACTACCTCTAATCAACTCATATGCTCGTAAGTACGAATTGGCGGATAAATTTGACTACTGGGACGAATTACGACAAATCGTCCTTCGTCAGGCTTAATACTGAAACACGATACTCTCAGCGTAAGAAACTTGGGAGGAAATATGATAGAATTTGAGGGTAGAAAAAACAACTTTTGTGGAAAAAGGAGTTAGATAATTGACTAAAGATAAAAAAAAAAAAAATTATGGTTGTGTAAACAGGGTATTCAATGGCTCCTGGAATGTGGTTCGTTGGCCAATACTTCCTGATTAACTTGCCTGAGCTGAGAGACGGAGGGATTAAGATGACACTACCCCGACGAGGAGTAGAGGAAGGAGAAGAGATACACACATGGTATGGGATACCAATGGGGCCGGAAACTTTCCTTTGGGTAGAAACAGGCTGGACCACGGAAGAGAGGAGCGTTGTAGTAAGGGTGACCTTGTACCTCTCCATCCTCCTTTGGAAAGCCCACGTGATTAACCTCGCGATAGGAGAAAGTCGTCCGATTTCCAAATATATTATGACTGCAGGATTGACCCTTGAAGCCTTTTCTCGAAACATGTACTGGGGGGAAGAAGAGATGGTCATACGATCGATAGAAGCGAGATGGGTGACTGAATTCGCCTATCCAATAATGAACATTAAAGCTAATCTTCCTAAGTTTATAATTGACGAAGATTTTTGGAGAATAGAAAACGTGGAACGTGCAGTACTCGTTGCACAATCAATACCTGAAATGAGTTTCGAATTTGAGGCATCCGATGTCATTTACTGTCTATACTTAGAGATGGGGCCGAAATTGAAAAAAAAAAAATTCTATAATGTCCTGTGTGTCGTGAATTCGTACCTACGCACCTATCATTTGGAAGATCGTTTGAAGTATTGGCGCAAACTCGTGGTCGTTTTGTGTGTCTTGACATGTTCTACTGTCTAAAAAGTAAAAAGGGGAAAAATGAGTGATTTTGGCGACGACAATATCAATGGGGGAGGAACTCCACCTATAACCGTGGTAGAAATTGTCAAGTTACTGGAAAGGAGGGCGATAAAAAGGTCGAACCTGCCAAAGATAGATATCTTCCCGTTCAAAGGAGAGAGAGTGTCTCACTGGTTGGAGTTGCTAGAACAGATCTTCAGACGTTGGCTGAGAAATTTGCTCAGCTATACGAATATGTATGGTGAAAATTTAAACCTGACGTGGAAGAAGTTGCAAAGAAAGTCAATGATAATTGGACAGAGTTCAAAAATTGTATGCAGAGAAAGTTTAAATTAGGGAACGGTCTACTCACTGTCAAACACTTGTATAACATGAACCGGGATGATTTCACTACGATTGGGATATTCGCCAATGCCTCTGAAAAGACGGCCGAAAGAGTCCCAGGGTTGTCCGAAGAAATGCAGTGTGTTATCTTCCTGGGAAAATTTTCTGGGTATGAGGCCATGGAGTTGATTCGAGGAGGAGTCGGGGATAGGAAAACGACTTAGGAAACCATTAAAAGAAACATCGTGGCTGGGGATTTTGATCAAGTGTTTCACCACCAAGTCAAGTTGGAACGAAGGAAAAGGAAGACAGTAGGAATGGTTCAGGGAACTGACAATGCATTGGGTGAAGTACTGAGTAACATGGCGAATCAGATAAAAGAATTGAAGGAAAATGTGTCGCCGAGAAAAATATTGACGGTTACGCAACCATAAGGGAAAAGGAAGAAGGACGAAGAGGAAGAAGGCGATGAAGAAGAAGAAGAGGATCCTGAGGTAGCGGTCAAATTGACAAAGTATCAAAGAAAGGCGAGAAATTTAGCCATGGGGGGACAAGGTACGGGGAAAGGACATGTCTCTCAACATGCAATAATTCAGTATGGCCAAAAACCATCTACGAACACTGCTCAGTTCGGGCAATGGCCTGTGGGGCCACTGATGGGTGCATGGCCCGAGTATTTCCCAATGGGACCATGGCCGATGCAAGGACCAGTAAGACCTTATCCAATGATGCCACAAATCCAGAATGTGGGAGGCGAGCAAGGAGTAGGGCGTGATCAATAAAAGGGTAAATAACAATCAGGACCAAATCACCAAGGCGGTCAGAATCAGAGTAGAGCCCAGGGTCGTGGGCAAGGTCGTGGAAGGGGAAGAAATCCAAGAAGGAATCAGGGTAAAGTAGAGCGAGGGGCAAGTAGTGGAGACAACAGTGGTCAAGGTAGAAACTGGGAACCGCCCCAAATAGGTGTTAATCAACTGGGACAAGGAAATCAGCAAGGATATGGCCGAGGGTATGACCAAGGTTGTGACAAAGGTTATGGTCGAGGAAGCGGACAATGGAGTGGACAAGGATACGGAAGAGGATGGGTAGACTACAGTGAATGCACTTGTACTCACTGTGGGATAAAATGACACACGGTAAAATGGTGTCACGTCAGGAAACTAGACAAACGCGATGGGCTCATCACCTCAAATATAGATGATGATGTGTTCGACAAAAGAGGTAATATAATAAGTCCGGACATTCCAGGCGGTACAAGGGAAGATGCCCTCCAAGTGGCGGAGCTTGGTCCCAACGCTCCGACGATGTTCCGAATTTGGCAAGAGAAGGAGAACCCTGTTGTGCATGTGGAAAATATAACGGAGCTAGAAGAGAAAATGAGCACAATGGAGGTTAGAGAAAACAAGGAGAACATTCCCCTCGTCGAAGAGGAAGCGGAAGAGGAGGATGTTAGCATCAATGTCAGAGAAATGTTTGATAGAATGGAGGACTCGGTGGATAAAATGCAAAGATTACATCTGAGGCTTCGCGGAATATGTGAAAAAGTTGGGAGAGAAGGGATTGGATATCCGAAGGTATTTACCATGGGACACGAAGGACCGGGAGAGGGACCAAAGGAACCTAACCCAAGAATGTTGAAGGCCAACATGGCGGCGAAGACTAGCATGGGCCAGAGAAACGTAAGGGGCTCGATTCCATACGCTACGCGAAGACCTGGAGGAGGCAATCCTCCGAAGGAACAAGCTCAGACCTCCCAACCAACTGAGGAAGAACCACCAATCACGGTAGAAGGGGATGAGGAGGAAGACGATAAGATCAGGGAAGAAGAAGACAAGCACGCGGAAGTTATGACTAAACCGAGGAAAGAAGGAGTCAAGGAAAGGAAATCAAAGAAAGAAGAAACCATGACCAAGAAAAGGAAGTACAAGACTTCGATTGAAGAAGGGGTTGACCTGGAAGGGCTAGTAAATAAGTTATTTGAAGGTCACAATGAGTTGTTGAACCTAAGAGAGATTCTTGCTTCAACGAGAAGAGGTTAACAGGGCCCTAAATTTTTAGGATTTTTTCAAGGTCATTATAACAAATGTCCCATACCTTTTACGCTAGACTTGTCACCAGTCCATAGAGTGGACACCAAGTAAACCAACAACAAAAATAAAATAAAAATAAAAATGATAAAAGGGACCTTAAACCCCAAGACAAAAGTGCGTTTGCATGCAAAATTCATTTTTTTCGGTTTTCAGGATTTTCATGATTTTTCAGGGTTGGCAAAAATAGTGGACTCCAAGAGCCCAATAAACACCAAACTTGACACACGAAAAATAAAACAGGGCAAAAAAAAAAAAAAAAAAAAAAAACTGAAAAAAATTATCTCCAATGCACTTTTCAGGGTTGGGGCTGTTACCATGGGGCTGAATAGTGGGGGTCGCTGTTAACCTTCGGTGGCTTCAACCCCAAGATTAAGGAAAATGGTGAAGGCTAGATTGTCATGCAGAAGAGTAGCTACAGTCCAAATAGGGGACCTGATTCCCAAAGAAGCAAATTGGAGCGTTGCGGGAAGCAAGATGAACTGGAAATTCGTGGGGACTGGGTCTGTAGATATTATGATCAAGGGGAAGATGTGTCCAGGCATGGTTGATACAGGGGCAGAAATGAACATTATAAATGGGGAAACTGCAGAGAGATTGGGGCTAGAAATTGATGAGAATGATTGCGGATTCCTCAATGGAGCTAGTGGCAAAACCGGATACACTGGAGTTGCGTCTAATGTTGTGATAGAGATAGGAAGGGTCAAGGTGCACACATGCTTCTATGTTATGCCCAACTTGGACCTCCCGATTTTGCTGGGCAGATCCTTCTTATGCAGGTCCGAGTCGCTCATTATGAACAAACATGATGACACCATGCTTGTTATCTTGTGTGATCCCGCCTGTGGGAATTTTGAAGTAATCACTTGTAGAAATACTGGGCCCCACAACTCGAAGAACTGACTCAACGCGGGATCTTACACATTTGAAGAGTCAGAGAATATGCAGAAAGAACTAGAATGGGAGGAAGAAGAAGAAACAAACGATAAGGAAGCCGGTGGACTCGTATTGAGCCTATCAAGTATTAGTGACGCAGTCAAGCTGGTATCGACCTACAGGATGGCTGACCCTGATGTCGTCAGAGCGTTTGCGGAAAGAATCAAGGAAGATCCAGATGGAGGGAGAGTCGATCTTGTTTACCGACCTCCTCCTCCTCAGATGGTAGGAACACATATGCCAAATGCCCAAGCAGTCGGCCATCATTTTTTAGGGTGTGGGCTCAAGCAGGGCTCCAAAAGGCGGTACAAGACGGTAGACAAGAAAAGTCTTCCGTTACCGGTTCTGGTAAATCAAGAAGAAGAGGTGTATTACGCGCAGGAGAGAGAATTGATACGACAAATGAGAGCGAGTACTCGAAATGGACCTTGTCACATCAATAAAGAAACATAGAAGGATTTGATAGTAGGCGAACCCGGTTTTCTGACAAACCAAGAAGAGACTTTGGTAAATGACCTGATACGTGAGAAACATGAAGCATATGCTTTCAATGATGATCAACGCGGACGGTTGGATGTTGACAAAATCGAAATGATCCGCATTTATACTGTGCCTCATGAACCATGGAATGTTGGAGGGGCTAAGTACCCCAATCCAGAAGATCGTAGAAAAGTGGTGGAGTACCTAGATGGGAAGATTCGTACGAATGTCGCTGGGTATTCTAGCGGACAATATGCTTCTCCTTGGTTTTGCTTTGTAAAGCCGAATGGGGTGCTCAGATGGGTACAAGACCTCCAACAATTGAATGCGGTGACCGTGAGAGATGCTGGGGGACTGCCTAACGCTGATCAATTGTTAGAGTCATGTGCTGGAAGATCGATTGTATCCCTTATTGACCTCTACTCGGGGTATGATCAATTTTCGGTATATCCCGCTGACCGTCCTATAACAGCAATGCACACGCATAGAGGGTTAGTTCATATGAATGTTGCACTCCAAAGATGGACCAACGCTGGGTGCAGCGCAGTATGATCAGGGTGATGCAACCGATCAACCCTCATATCACTGAATCATACATTGATGTCCTCGTCGTTAAGGGTCCTATTGAGAAAGATGAATCAGAGGTGGCTCCTGGGATAAGAAGATTCGTATGGGAGCATGTCTAAGGATTAAGAGAGGTTCTATCTCTCTTAGAAGAGTACAACTTCACAACTAGTGGCGTTAAGTCAAGACACTGCGTGAAGGAAGTGACCATTATGGGATATGTATGCAATGAGTATGGTCGACGACTAGATGGTAAGAAGACGAAAAAAATCATGGAATGGCCTACTCCCTTCAGAAATGTTGGAGAAGTTCGTAGTTTTCTGGGAACCTGTGGATTCTGAAGAAGGTTCATAGAAAGATTCGCCACCAAGACAGAGCATCTGAGGAAGCTAGTAAGAAAGAATCAGAACTGGGAGTGGGGTGATCTTTAAGAAGAAGTGGTCGAGGAGTTGAAGAAGGAATTTAGAGAAGGGGGTTTAGTATTGGGGGTGTCAGATTTTGATGCGACTATGGAAAGGCTTTTCATTGTTGAAATCGACGCTGGACCAACCGCGTTAGGTGGTGTGTTAATCCAGGCAGACAGTAGCGGAAATGAGAGACTGTTGCGATTCGGAAGCCGAACACTGAACTTGACAGAGAGGAACTACTCGCAGTTCAAAAAGGAAGCTTTGACAGTTCTGCACTGCCAAAGAATTTTCATGCATTACTTTTTGCTAAGAGGTTTATCTTCAGGATTGACCCTACTGCGCTCATGTATTCCCTCAAGAATTTTTCGCCGTCAGACCCGACGATAGTCAGGTGATTCATATATATATGGATGTTTGGTTTTCAACTGGAACATATCCCTGGGAACAAGAACAGGGCGGACGACATGAGTAAAATTGAGTGGGGAAACCAAGTTGAATCTGAAGAGGAAGCACCTCCGGTAGATGAATTTTTTGTGGAAGGAGATGATATAGGCACTCATGTCAACCGTTGGGCTATGTTCGTTGAGAGTAAGGCAATGAGGAGAGGAAATTCAATGTGGCATCCGCCTCGTGAGTTTATGAGAGAGTCTACCTTAATACTTACGCCAGTAGTAGAGGAGGACTCATGGGAAGAAAGGAATGCGGAATGGATGATGAAATTGGTCTTAGTCGATAACTATATGATAATGGATGAACCACGAACGGTCGAAGCAGGAGCCCGACAAGCAGACGAGCAAGTAACCATAATGGGTAGAATGTACTACTTAACAAATTCCCTCTTACAAGTCCAATCGAATGATGAAGGGGGTATGGTAAAAACTGATGAAATAGTAATTACGGATGATTACGAATTTGATGCGGAGAAAGAGGAGGAATTTGAGAAGGGAGAGATTTCAGAAGATTTCTGAGAAGAGGAATATGATGGGTTCTATCTAGAAATGGGGTTGCCCCTTTCAGGAGACAAGAGAGAGAGAGAGAAGTCAGTGAGAAAACTCTTCGAATGCGGGATCATTATATAGTAAGAGGTGATGATTTATTCATAAGAGATAAGAGGGGTACACCACGTCAAGTAGTATGCAGAAAGAGTCGTCAGATTGATGTCATAGTTGCACTTCATGATGGGATAGTTGGTGGTCACCGAAGTTTTCCGGCAACCTACAAAGAAAGCAATGAAACTCTACTATTGGAAAGGGATGTTTGAAATGACCCGTAAATATTGCGAGTCATATGTACCTTGTCAAAATACAAGGAGCCGCTGCATCCCAAGTACATCAAAGATGTGACGGCGGTTGTCCATTTGGACCTGTTGGCCATGCCGTTGGGACTCGGCGGATATAATTATATTTTTGACGCGAGGGACAACCTTACTGGGTTTGTCGACGACAAGACCATTAGAAACAAAATGGGGGTGATACTGACAGAATGCATTAAGGAATACTACCGCAAGTACCCGTTCGTATTGGAATTCACAATGAACAGGGGGTCTAAGTTTACGTGTGGGGAAGTGAAGGAACTGTTGAAAGAACTAGGAGTGATAAGTAACTACACGACTCGGGCTCACCCACGGGCAAATGCGCTAGTTAAAAGGGAAAATAGCACCATTACAAATTTGCTAGCCAAGTGGACCAACGGGGAGCCGAATCTTCGGCCGAAATTCTTGAGAACTGTGTTCTTCGTAGAAAATATCACTGTCAGGGGAATGACAGGATATGCGCCAACAACTCTCTGGTATGGTCGACACGCCACATTCCCGATAGAGAGTTTTCTAAAGACATGATGCAAGCAGGACTTGGAGAATGATCTGACATTGGAAGAGTTACTGAATCTTAGGGCAAGACAAATCAGCGCCACTGAAGAAAGGATTCATGAGGCAGCCACGAGGGTGGCAGACGGTCGTGGCAAGGACAAAGAAAGATGGGACAAGCTTCCTAGAGTGAGGGTCAAACCGTTGCAGGTTGAGGATGTTGTGTTACTTTATACCTCTTCTTGGGAAAAACAATGGTCGCAAAAACCGAACAAGCGTTGGCTTGGACCTTTCAGAATCAAGAAACAGGGACTCTATGGGGCCTATGAGTTGGAAGAAATGGACGGGACTCCAAGAAGGGACTGGGTTTCAAGGTCCAAACTGAAGAAATTCAAGATCAGAGAAGAGGTGAGCACGAGTTGACAAACGAAGCTTAAGTATGCCCCTATATATATAAGTGTGTATATATATATATATATATATATATATATATATATATATATATATATATATATATATATATATATATATGGCTGAACCGACAGTCTGTAGAGTTTTCCATCTGGTGTGGGTGAGTGATAGTCTACTTTGATTTTGGTTAAGGTGGATTATCACTTACAGTGTAATCAG